CCCTCTTGACCACTCCAGGTAATTTAAACCATCAAGAGGGACAACAGCCATAGGAAAGGATAGGTCACCCCCACCCATTCCATTCAGCATTGAGGAAGCTTCAGATGTGGCTGAATCTTCACTGCCCATGATATCTGAATAAAAAAAAATTGAAACAGCAACCAAAAGAGTACAGCTGTACAAGGCTATTTCAGAGACAACACTGGATGCAACAGTAGTTAGTTTGACATCACCCTTCAGGCCTGGACGACTTGCTCTGATACCATGTTGGGCAAGAGCAAGTGAAGAGAGGAGAGGAGAAGAGAGAAGAGAGGTGAGTCGAGTGACTGAAAGCCCTCTTGAACTTAGGGGGTGAAAGAATGATTTTATTATTTATACTAGTACAGGCGAACAATATAAACAGAGGAGAAATTCCAACAGTACCCTTATGATACTAAACCTGAATACATAAACAACTGTCAACAGATATTTGACTCGGTTGTCTTCTCCACTACGACCAAAGCAAAAAACTAGACATTCCTATCGAGGATTGGTATTGATCGAGGGATAGAGTGTATTCCTCGATTTTTCACCTTCAGTTGAGCCTCCCTCAACTCAGACAAGCCTTTTGTTTTGGGATCAACTTCTTCTAGTCCTCCTTACAGATTTCCGATCAGCTCAAAAACACCCTCCTTCCACAAGTGAAACGGGAGTCCATGAATGGTGATCCATCCATCAAAGAGTATATCTAAGGGGACAGCGTTTGCAGTTGACCACCAATGGTTTAGCTTCACCCAATTGCCATAAATGTAGAAATTCTCCATTCTAGCCCAAGCAAAGGCTAGGTCTTTATAAAGGAGCGAACCCCACCACTTTGTTGCTGGAGAAGGGGTGAAGACGGATGAGGGTCGGAGTGTGAAGATTTGTCGAGAGACCGAGTTTGATTTCGTTCCAACCCAATTCGTCTGTTCTGGTACACAAACGCATTCTTCCAATATCCAAAAGGTCTTTCTTGGGTGGTGATAGAGATATGGGCCGAACCTCCAGCCTTCACAACTCTTCTCCGCCCGGTTGTCAGTGACGGGAAGGCAGCTGGGGTTTCAGAAACTGAAGGTCCGATCTTAGGGGTGAAAGAGTCAAGCACTTCGAAAAAAATCTTCCAACCTGACTTCTTTTCTTCTTCTGGTATGCAGATTGACCTTTGTTTTTCGGCAAGTTCCCAACAACTTAAATGGATGAATCTACCCCAACGATTTGCACTTTGTTGAATTAATAACACCTTCCCTCTGTGAGCGTGTTTGCGCTCTTTAACTATTCCTGTTTGCGTGGAAATCACCTCTCGGAGGAAATCTCTCATCCAGGTCGTCTCCTCTGCTTTCAGGGATATTCTCGACCAATCACCCTTTCCTCTCTCAGTTAGCATTATAAAATCATCTTGTTTGAAAGGTTGTGTCAAACTCAAAGGATTTTGAACCGATTTCTATTGACTTTCTCATCCTTGTAGTAATCTAGGACTTGTCGCAGGTTTCCGGTGTTAACAGTCTCTGGTGTTTACAGTCTCCATCGTCCTACCTTCAAAGCTGATTGTTGAAGGAGACTCAAAGCTGGTAGTAGGTTGGTTGCAAAAGGAGGAAGCTGGATTTTGGTGCTACCATAACAAAAGGAAGAAGTTTAAATGGCCAACATAAAATACAGAAATTAAACTGTAATGTGTTATGAGGATGACTTCTTAGTTATATTAGTTTTGTTTTATTCTTTCTTATTGGTGCTGGATTTCTAATATTTTAGGGATCATGGGAATAACATTTTTGATTCCTCACGAAAAAGAACAAGGCATTCATCCATAAGTGATGGTCAGAAAAAAACTCTTACAAAGGTTCTTCAGCAAGAAGAATATTCCCCTGAAAGATTAGCTAGCTGTGGTTCTGTTGAAGGTTGGAGTCGTCCAGATGACATGCTGCCAAGGAGAAAAGACAAGGACAGAAAAAGGTATAGAGTCATTTCAGTTTTTTTGTTCTCTTCATTTATTTACTGATATTTGTGGAAAGACCTATCTATATGTACAAGTTCTGTAGACATATGACATCAAACTCTTCTGCAGTGAGAAAGCTTCAGTCTGGACCGATCATCCTGAAAGCCCTATTCAGTGGACATCACCAATGTTGGAAGAAGTTGAATATAGGCCAGGGAGGCTAAGGGGAGAAGGCTATATAATCGAGCATGCCCAGGACAAAAAACCATCTGTGTATGAACATGAAAGAGATTCTTCTTCATATGAAGAGTTACAGAGACGGTGTCTCAGAGAAGGTCGAACAGCTGATGAAAAGAAGCATTCTTATTTGACCAATATCGAGGGAAGTGACCGAGTTTACAAAATAGAAGTTCATAAATCGGGGAAAAAGGTTGATAGGAAAAGCCAAGCTGGTGCTTATGGTTCTGATTCTGAAAATGAGAAGCACAGATCCAAATACATGGAAAGGAGAAAGCATAAGAGAGTGGATAGGCATGAATTGAATTTGGATGATTATCATGATTCTCAAATTGATGAGAGGAAGGAGGCAAAGAAAAGAAGGAAAGAAGAAAGGAGATTACAGAAAGAGGAGAGGCGTTGACGCCATGAAGAATGGCACCATAGAAGGGAAGAAAGGAAAGCAGCCAAGATGAAAGTCAAGTCAGTGGATATGGTGACTCCACCTTCAGATTTTGAGAGAAACCAGACTAATGCCAATGGTTCAGATGAGAAAGTTGATGCAAGGAGGGAATCACATCTGAATGATGCTGAAGACTCAGAGTCTGAGCAGAAAAGACTTGAGATTGAGTTGCGAAAAAAGGCTCTTGAATCATTAAGAGCAAAGAAGGGCATTAATAACTAATTCTACTTTTTGCTACTCTTGATGCATTGAGCTGTTTTTCTTTTTCTTCTTTTTATTTTTCTGTTGAAGAGCATTTTCTATCATTTAATGGCAATCTTATGTTTTTCTAAAGTGGGAATGATTCTGTTATACAGCATAGCTGTTTAATGTAGTCTGTGTTTACTGGTGGCAGCTGAAAACTGGAAAAATGAGGATTTCCTGAGCTATTCTGTTGATGTGCAACTTTGTGCAGACCTTGCTGCTAGATTTTCTGGTAATATTTGCCTTCCCTTATATGGGAATTTGATTTTATTTTTTTGTAGTTCTTAACTGGGTGGATATGAAACCATCTTGTTGTTTATCACAGTGGCTTCTTAAAGCTTTCAGTGGCATTAATTTATATGTTATGTTATATAGATCTATGTACTGTTGATGGTAAAACAATAATACCCCATTTGACAAGGTCAATAAAATAAAATAAAATCTTATTGCCTGAATGTAGAACAATGAAACCTAAAGGTCTTGGCACTTTGTTTAAAATGAAGTTTATACTAAATTGGCTTTGTGGTTGATTGATAGATGAGAATACTGTCAACTAGATGACTTGGTTGAGCAGGGCCTTGTGCAGAACCACTTATTGAACATCAATTCAGGTGAAGTATCATACATGATTCTCTGGACTTCTAGAAGGAAAGACTCCAAACTCTATTGGCTAAAACTCTGTTTCTAAATACTTGATCTCTTTATATTGTATGATGATTTAGCCTCTTTATGGTTGGCAGCATGAGAGCTGTTATGCGGACTTTGTTTTTAAAATTCATCAAGGTGATATAGGCACCCGACTCATACTGTCTTGCTGTTGATGTCAGCTGTCAAGTGTCTCTGGATGGCGTCACCATGTATGTATGCACTAAAATCTCCTGTATGGTTTGACATTAGTATTCAGTGGGTTGTATCAGAATTATAATGATTATACGCTTAACATATAAAAAGAAAATTTCATTACAAGGGTCACCCTCTCAGTTAGCATTTGCTGTTAGTGTATGTTTTGTTAGGAAAGTGGCTATGGTGGCTCTTGGAGATCACTAGAGTTTGGGATTGGGAGAAAGCATGGATATAGTTGGCATTTGGGACTCTGGACTTTCTTGGGACAGCTGAAGTGGCTGAACTGAAAAGCTTATTGCTTTGTCTTTTAGTGAATAAGTTTTTAAGGAGATTGTGTGCTCCTTAGTGGCTGAAGCTGAAGTTGGGTAGCTTTCTATACCCTTGAATATTTTATTATTATTTATTGGCAAAGCAATAAGTCATTCAGTTTAGCAACTTCAGTCGTTCTCAAATATCCCCTTTGTATGGTATGGCGTTGTTCTTTCTGCCCCTGAAAGGCCAATTCTGGTGCTATTTGCTCCCAATTAATATATGTTATTGTCTGGTGAAATGGAGGTAGATTTTGGGGAAATTGAGCCTTCTGGTTCCTGAATTTGGGTGGTTTTGAGTCTTTTGACAGGCTGACAATTATAATATTGGTCAACCTGGTAAACCAGTGATTTTGTGAGCTTTCTGGTCTTTATGTCTGCTTCGTTCTTAACAACACTGTGTCTGGGAGATCCCCTAAACTGTTTTTTCTGTAGAGAGATGCCTTTGCCTTTATTTTATTTTCCAACTATAAATGGAATTCTGGTTTTGTGCCCTAATTGAACTCAAATTTAATTTCAACCATGGTAGTCTATGGGGTTTAATCTTGATGTGGTAAAGATGGAATTTATGCTGATTTGATGCTAAGTTATTGTTTCCCGGTCTTCCCCATCCAATGAAAAGATTGCTTATTGATGGGGTATTGCTTGATGAAACTAATTTTGAAGTACTCATGTTTTGCAATTTTGGTTTTTATGGAATGGAGGGGGTTTTTATTCATTAGAAGCAATTAAAGGGAGATACTGGTTTGCTATTTTGGACTGGTTGGCTGTTGGCATCAGCAAATATTATAACTGAGGTCCTGGTTTTGAGTCCCTTACTGTCTGGTTGGTATTAGCAAAGTTTATCTCTTTGTCCCATTAGATTTCTACATCTTTAGGGGGAAGGAGAGTCGGTGCCAAAATTTGATTTAATGGATGTATAATGTGTATCCCAGGTGGCGGTGCTTAGTTTTTACAGAGGTGTTTAGTCATTGATTGACTGAATCTAGTTCAGTTGGAGTGGCAAGAGTGGAGTTCGTGGAATTTCAGTAGTTTTGGCAATAATGTTGTAAAATGGTTTTTAGTTTGGATGTTATTTGGGTATTTGGATGACATGGGGTATATCTGGATTCAATTATTTACATATTTTTTTAGTATGTAATTTGAGGTAGGTTAGACTCTTGAATTTTATTAATCTCCAGATTCTTTTTTTTTTTTTTTGTGAGAAGTTAAAAACATCCGAGGAGTTGAGGGATGGCACCAGTCACAGCTTTGGTAAGGGTTACTATTGAACTCTAGATGGTAACTGTAAATCCCTCAAACCTCTTCTTAACTTTGACAGTTTGACCTGCCCCCAAACCTTCCGTCTTTTGGGGATAAAGGGACTTATAGACCCTCTCAGGTACTTTCAAATGGAAAAAGATATTAAATGTCTTCTGTCCATACTAATTCCTCCAATTAAGGTAGTAGATTTTTTCTAATTCCAACTTTACCCTTGAACTGTTAATACATGTAAATATGTTTTTGTTAAGGATTTTAGGGTACCTTTTAGTTAAAGATTTAAGGGTATTTTGGTCATCAAACATTTGATGATTTTACATAAGGGCAAAATTGGCATTATAATATAGTAAAATGCATGACATTAGCGGTTGCTGTTGGTTGGATTTCTAATGGTAATGAAGTTAGTGAGGGGGTTAACACTTTATCCCAAAAAGCCCGAGAAGTTTAAGGCCGTTTTAGAAAGCCCAGGGAGGTTTAAGGGTTTTATTACCCATTATTTGACACATAATTGAAGCAAAATTAGAGTGGATTTATCAAAGTTAAATAGACCTGTGGCCGATATATGTTAGCCAAGGCTTTCTTTTACCATTATTTATATGGTGTCACGCTGATGGGAAGGCCTTTATGGATAAATATCAATCGGCATATCAATGAAAAAAAGCAAGGAGTGAGGTCCACCAAGCAGAAGTTGACGTGCTAGGTCTTCTGCCTTTTACAAATTGTGATTTATGCTATGCAGCTTACTGTTGAAAAGATGAGGAAAACTGATTTTGAGGTACCGGCGTTTTGCATGCAACTTGGAAGCCACCTAATTATTGTCTGTCCTGAATCCTGATCCTTGAGATGCCCCGAGGGTCCCGTCCCATCTACAGGCCTGACGCCTGAGCCCGGAGGCGCCGGCCCCCGTCCCCTAACACTCTTTTTTGGTAAATATTGGATTTACGAACATATTACTTGGGAGGACTGCAGACATGTCCTGAATCCTGATCCTTCATCAGAACTCGATTCACCTTGGACGGCTCCTTAAATTCTTTGCATATTGGCTGGACCGAAGCCCATCGTGCAAGCGGGATGGTGAAGAAATTGTATGCTTTTTAATTAAAATAATACCCTTGTAGAGACCAAGATGGTAAGGAAATCTGATTGATCTGGTTTTAGATACTAGGCATACAGTCAGCATTCCAGTTGGAAGCCATTTTTAATTGGGTGAGGCCGTCAGGGTTAAAGTACGGGGCAGATTGCCAAGTTATAGCTTGTGAGCAAGGTTCAAAATATCGTATGTATTGGCCCATATCGGTCAATACATATCATATTGGAGCATTCTCGATGCATGCCCCTACAGGGAGTGTTTTGTGTTGGTGAGTGGTTCAGAGGATAGACTGGCCTTAGACCGGTCCCTTTGAACTAGATTCGGAAAAAATAAAAAAAAAAGAAAAAGAAAAACAGTACCGATACTGGCGGATCGCCCTATATTGATATTTTAAACCTTGCTTGTGACCTGATCCATCTATACTTCTCTAATAGAACCAAAGCTCTCCCTCTGCTTCTGGGTAATATTTGGCTCAGTGTCCAATCAAATTGATTTTTCATTTCACTTTTAGGGTTTAGTGATTTAAGGTTTTGATATGAAAATTAAGATGATGAGGTGATCAGACGTTATTTATCTGGTGGAACGACTCTAGGTCTCGGGTTTGATGAGAACACTCGACTCATGGCTGATTGTGCCAATTATTAAATGTTTGGTGTTCAATTTCCTGTAATTCCCATGACCAAGATATTTAATTGAAAGTTCTGCTGACAGTGTATCCACATTAATTCTCTTTCACAGAAGCACCTCGTTCAAAACTCGCCATGAATGGCCCTAGATTGACCATATTTACCATAAGGATTGGTGTAATTTCATCATTTCAGCTTGGCATAAATAAGATGGTGATAATAGGTCTGGAGTAGAAGGAACCCAAACAGAGAGGTCTAACTAAACCTAATTCATTATAAAAAAAAAAAAAAAATCAAATTCAATCTGAGAAAGATTCGTACTGCAAGTTTTCTGATCCATCCTCAGCTCTATGGGAGATGCAAGGATCCTGGATCGATTTCCTCGGGTGTAATTTACCAAGTCGACAGTCACATTGCGCATACGCTTCTTATATCCTTCCTAAGGCTCTCTCTCTCTCTCTCTAAACACCTCATTCCACAGCTGTTGCAGAAAGCGTTTGATGGGGGTTCAAGAAGCTTAAGGATTGGTCAGCTGAGGCACTAACCTTCAACTTGCAGTTGGGATCATCGCACTGATCAATCCCATTTTGGGTCGACGTCAAACCACCTCCTTGGACCATAACCTAATTTCCTATGTTCACCAATCCAAGCGTAGCTTCTTCTTTCTGTCAATCAGAAGGGAAGAATCCGGTGAAACCTTTTGATCCCTTATAAACTATCAAAATTGATTCTTTTTTTTTTTGATAAAATAGCAAAGTTGATTCCAAAAGCCAAAAGAGGTACTTCTACAGACTGCAAATGCAACCCATCATGATGTACGGATAACTTTCTTTACTAGACATACAGTGGGCTTCTCTCACCACACAGCGACAAGCGTAGCCACATGGTAGATTGGCCTGCCTTGTGGCCATTAAACCTTGCCCTTCAGAGTTTAGTTGCAATGGGAGATCTAAACCCCCCACAAATAATTCACAAGGGATTCATAGTGGGAGATGTTTCTTGTGTATTGCCTGACCATATGGCCCCATTAGCATACTTGGTTAAAGATCTTTGGGCCTCAAAAAGGACAAAAGTTCTGATTAGTTATTTCCAGCCTTGTCTATTGTCAAATGCAGAAGATCAACATGTGCACCTAGGGTTTCCTGGAGTTGAAGACGACTGTGAATTACTGGACTGACACATTTGGAAGATAGCAAGCACAGTAGGTTGCGACATGGTTTGGCCAACATCTAGAGATATACTACCTTAGATAAAAGGATTGACATGCACAGGCCTGACATACGCATAATGATAACCAGGTTTGAAGCTTACAATAACATGCAATCAGCTTCCTAAACCGTCCACACTGACAAACACCCCCTACGGCCTCGTCCGTTTTTACTTACCTGGCTAAGAAGCATGCTTCAGCATTCTGAAAGTTTAACACCTACCTGGAGAGAGAGAGAGAGGGAGAGAGAGAGAGAGATTTACCCAAGTCATGGGAGGGTATTGGTTACCTACGCAACTGATAATCTCCAGTAAAAATTTTTGGGATAAGTAGACTATAGTTCACCTCAGAAATATGAAATTACAGACGGTGGAACTAAGATTTCTGAATAAAAACCCCAAAATTTTTTCCATGGGACCTAATATTGTGGAAAACGAACAACGGTAAGTTGATCAACCTACACCCGCTAAATACCGGCTAATGAACAAGGCTTAAATGAGAACCATCGTCTCAGCCTTCTTTGATGGGAGAACATTTGCTTGTGCTGTTTTCTAACTTCTATGCCTTATAGTTAATAACCAAACTATATTACACTTGGTAAAATTAGCTCTTTCAAATGGCTAATCTAAATCAAATAGCAGGATTCAACAAAGAAATATGATAACTATTCTCTAGAATTCAGGGTTACACATCTTGAATAGCATAGCGCTTGTCCTCAAAACTCAATCTGATGATATGGGATCCATCATCCTCTACATGAACAATGATGGGGGCACGCAGCACTCAGAATTATGGCACTGACACATTAGTGGGGAATTAGGGGGTGGGGACCCAACAGGGTGCAATGGTGCTTGTGAGGTTCATTGCCCCTACCACAATGAGCCTGGGCACTTCAAATGGTTAATCTAAATCAAATAGATAATTGTACACCATGTTAAGTGCTGTAAATGGTGTTGTTTTACAGTAATTTAAGATCAAGACACAAGAATATCATTTACTAAGTTTCATGGCGCTAAAAAAACACAAACATCTTGACAAGAAACATGCCTCCACATGTCCACAATGGCAGTACCTCAAGGATGATTTTTTTTTTCAATTATCAATACCACACAAGTTTGGAGCATCCTGTCAAATGTAAATGTGAAAACACAAAGGATGCAACCTGTGATCCATAGTTAACAAAACATTTCAAAACAGCAGGCATTGATTCCAAAATCTACAAGAACACTGGTAACTGACAATAAATGAAGTTAGGTGAGAAAGCATACCTATCTTTGTTCACTAACCAACCAGCATATACACACATAGCCTTTCCCCATCATCCCAAAATAATGCTTGAGTATGATTAGAGAAAGTGTTGGTTACATAAAAAGTCCAACTCTGATATGACATGGCACTCGTGTACAAGCATCTAGGTATCATGGGCTTATCCCTTAAACTGGATTTCCTGCCCACTACTCTCTACCCACACTCTACCCGGTGCAAATTGCAGCCACACATCGCCATCTTGAATTGTGAGATGTGTGGCTGCAATTTACGCAGGTAGAAAAAGTGAGTAGAAGTCCGGGTTCCTTACCTCCTCCCTATCAATCATAATGTGCATTGTTAGATATATAAACTGAGAACCATGGTTCTAGATGAAAAGGTTATGGCTTAAGTTCAGTACCAGATCTAACGACAGGAACCAGCAGAGACACTCCTCTCTTGGTGGAAAGGGATTCCAATCATCAAAGACCTAAGGCTATGTTTGTTTTGACAACTTTCTTGCAGGGTTCTTGTTACTATCTCAAGTTGTACTTGCAATTGGGTATAAGTTTGACATCAGTAGGAATTCAGAGTCTTTGTGGTCTAAGTTCAACAAGAAAACTTTAACTAGATCAGCAGGAATTTGGAAATCTTCCTTCTTCCGGATAAGATCTACTCCGAAGATCTGATGTTCAATCATACTCCTTATGTCTTCTCTTAACATAAACTATGCCATTTTTGGTCATCTCCTCGTCTATTTAGAGCATTCAACACTAAACCATGTCTTCTATGCACAAGACCAAACAGTCTCGGCAAACTCTATATCATGTTTTCACTTATTTGACCTACTAACGTGTTAAAAATCTGTCAAACGGTACCACTTTTCTGATGCTGAATTTGATGGAGTGGGTCGCCACCCATTTATTTGGACACACAAGATATGATTTATTAACTGACATGGCTAAAAAAGTGTTACAACTAGAAGTTGAAAGATGAATGTATACAATGTCCAAATAGGAATTAGTGCCACCTTAACCTAATTGAATATTTTCATTACCCTATTATTTCTGGGTGTTCATTATTATTTTGAAAGTTTAGAGGTTCCTTGCTTGATGTGGATTGTTTATTTGTTTTGTTCAACATATGATGCATTTATATATTTGTAGTGTACTATTTGAGGAACCTATAAACCTAGCATCTGCATCCCAAGATTTTGGGGTTGAGTAGTTCTGATTCCAAGAAGCATATATCTATTGACATCTACTCCCGGATCCATGAAATATGGATGGCATTTAGCTACCATCAGCTGCTATATATTTTTCTAAAAACAGGATAAAGTTGAATCTACATCATCACATTAGTCTCCATTGTACTCTCATCCCGAATCCATTTCTCCATTTAAATCATTATGTGATTGTAACCACAAGATCCTCCATTTTCATATTTCCTTTGCATGTTGACCCTTCTACTTGATCATTCAGCTCTGAAGATTTAAGAGCTATCACCCAATTTCTTCAATTCTTTTTCATATTAAAGAGATCATGTTGACTGAAGGAAGTATACTACAAGTGGGTAGAGGATGATAGAAGTAGGAGGCATTCTCAAGGGTAGCATCAATATCCATGTAGGAGTAGGACAGGCAGGGGCCCTTTACTTTCTACTTTCAGGTTTGATCACTGGAATGCAAGAAACTAATGTTTAAGAGAGCTATCAGAGTTGGTTATGTGATTGAAAATTTATGTAAGAAATATCCACAAAAGGTTAAGTTAAAGTTACAAAAGAGGTTGGTTGATAGCAGTTTGGATTTGTATATAGTGTGGGTTTGGCCAGGGGTTAGGAGAATTTTCAAGACTGAAATCAAAAGGAAAGGTCAGTGCACAGTAAATAATAACTTAAAAATAGCAGTATGAATAAATTAGTGGAGAATAGAATGGAAGAGTTAGAGAGAGAGAGAGAGAGGTACTGAATAAAATCTCAGCAATGAGAATAGAAGAGAGATTGAGATAGAGCAATAACAGAGAATAGCATGACAATATAGAAGAAATAGCATGCATGAATGTATCATCGTAAACTAAAACCATAATGCCTGAACAGACTGGCATATTAGATAAAATAAACACGGACTCAAAGTTTAGTCATTAGAAGAATAGAAGAGAGGTTGAAATAGAGAAATAATAGAGAATATCCTTCTATTTTAGAGGAAATTAATAACAAGCCTTCAAGTATCATAATACGCAGTGCTTGAAAAAACTAGCACATTAGATTATATAAGCATGGACTGAAAATTGCTTGTGAGCAAGTAAGTTCCTAAAATTATAACATAAACTGATCACTTTCTTGCCATCATCAGCTTAGAGATTACATCATGGTGTTCTTTTCAACTTTGTGTCTCTACCAACCATACTAAACTCCATCACAGTGTAAATCGGTTTTAATGTAAAAATTACAATAATAACCAAACTGGAGTTGACTTCATTAAGTCATGAAAAAACACAATTTCAAGAATATCACTGTGGTTATCTACCTTGAGAGTTTTAATATCTCTTGTTTTGACCAATTAATTTATAAGCCCCTAGAAATCTTTTTTCACAAAACCAACAATAACATCACACAGCATGGTTAAAATAGGGAAATGTACATTGAAACACTAGGAAAAAAAATCCAGTAGGGATTTGGGTGCTTCAAAAATCTGTTGAAAAGCAGGGTGATTAGGGCCTAAAGACTAAGTAAGGTATATGAGATAGGTTTGAACCAGGGAAGAGAGGGGGTACTTAGAAGTGCACTTGTCTTTCTGAAGCAGTGCAGTGGCTGGTATTCTAATGAACACTTGTGGTATAACTGTACAAGGAGGAAAAAATCACCAAGATCCACCTATAGAAAGAAGGAAACAATAGTGCCATATTTAACCCATGGATTTCCTTTTGTTTTTCTTTTTTCTCTCATACCATCATAAGGCTAGCTTGGACTACTATTTCATCCTTGAGGTCCTACTTAATTATGAAGAGAATCTACAATTGTTGCAAGAGAAAAGGAGGAAGAATTTATCAATATGCAAATATAATGAAAACAATATGAGCATGGTATTACCTGTTCACTTTTGAATACAAGTAATAAATAAGACCAAACTTCAAGGAATTTCAATGAATTAGTAGGTGTAGGAGATTTTATTTCTTCCTTTGGAACTTTGTCTTCAATAGTAATGCAACATTAATTCATTTACATTTCGTAGTATATTGACAACTAGATTTTCCTTTTATAGTTATTTAGGAGAAGAATCACTAAACAAGGAAAATAAAGTTCAAATGGATAAATGTGAGAGGAAGAAATATCACAATACTTGGAGGACTAGAATTAGTTGGTTAATTATCCATGCCATCTGGAAGTCTTGTTGAGACTGATGTATACTTCAATGCTCCTAGAACATCAGGTCCCAAAAGTAAGCGAGGTAATGAGGGATTGGTTTTTTTCTTCTTTGGCTACATGAGTTTTGTTCCACATAGTGCTAATAATCATATATATAGTTGGGATGATAAATGGCTTTCTAATATTGTTTATTGAGGACAAGATGATCATCATTACTATGCCATCTGTTCAATTGTCAATGAGAATCTGATCACAAATTTAAAGAGGGTCCAAATAAGTCAAAAAAAAAAAAAAGAATTCTCATAAAAAACATATATCATACATGGAGCATCTATTCTGAATTAGGAGTCATAGGTTGGTCTAATGGTAAAATCTTGGGCTGGCAAGCATTAGAGCATGGATTTAAGTTGATATGTGACTTTATAATATTGCTTGTTGAGGACAAGATGATCATCATACTATGCCATCTGCCCAATTGTCAAAGAGGGTCCAAATAAGTCAACTCAAACTATATATAATGCATGGAGCATATATATATATATATATATATATATATATATATATTCTAAATTAAGAGATATTGCTTGGTGTAATGGCAAAATCTTGGGTGACACACATTATAGCGTGGGTTTGAGTTGAGAGTGGCACTTTGGTGCAAAAGTCGCCAAAGGTTAGGTCCGTATCCAGTCCACCCCACACAAAACCCCAGATAGCTAGGACCATTGGACCAACATCGGGTAATGACCTTTTAAGCATATATTTTAAATAATGGCATGGTGATATTTAAAAATAGAAAGTGAAAATAAAATAGCATAGTATTAAACTATTAACCACAATTATAACTAAACACGTGGGTAATTGATGCATCTTTTACAAGGCAGGTTGATTTGAGCATGTTGCATCATGGTTGCAAGTGATTGAATGATTAAACAATGAATTTTAAATAAAAATAAACGAGAAAGCATATTGTATTTACCATAATTTGTATATTTTCTGTCTTTTATTTTGTCTTATTATGTAATAATATTTCTGTATACACACACATGTATGTATGATCTCATGCAAACTTGGTGCATTGCTAATTAATAAACTACTTAAATTGATTGAAGAATACCTTACCTCACAGGAGACATGGAATCAAAGTATAAAGAGTGGAATATTTGTAAAAGATATAAAAGAGTACAATGGGAGACTGGGAGAACCCTTCAGAACAGCTAGGGACCAGTATTTACACAAAAGCTATAAATCAAGTATCTAAGAAATCTATTTTCCATCAATATTAAAGGGATACTTTATCTATGTTCGAGCATGAAAAGATAATACTCTACCATTAGTACGACCTCTGTGTTTGGCCAAAAATAGAGTTTCCTAAAAGTATATGTTACAGCAGATAATGCACATAATGATAGAGCTTATGGAATATGACCGCAGGTTGCAAACTGATGTGAAAGAGTGCATTTTTATTTTCGGACAGCAGGTAACAGGTTGGGTCCTTCTACTTTTAAGGACCCAACAACCAGACCAACTTGCTTAGAGAATTAGAAGTGACCCATTTTAGGAAGGATTCAGATGAACTTAATTAGTCCCCCTTGACCCCAACCTCCACCACGTCACCACCCTTTATGGCAGCAAGTAACCAAATTAAAGCAAGCACCCATGAAGTCATGAACCATCATCATCCTCTTGTAGAAGCTCCGAGACAACCCCTATATTGTTTCGTTTCGCTTAACTGTTGAGCTTTATAGGCCCTACTTTTTTACTTTGATTATTATTTATTTAGTTTTGATAACATACAGAAAATACTAATTTAAGTGTGTCAGAACTCAGGAATCAGAATTGGAAATGTCAAATCAGTGCTACAGCTGGTTTGTCATTACTCATTGCTTCACTAATGAAAACCGAGCAATTCCTCAAAGCACCCTTTCCAATGTCCAAACTAAGCTTTTGCTCACTTCTCAGGGAACTCGCCCATAAAATAACAAAAAGTAGAATTAAGACAATGAATGATAACTAAATAAATCAATTAAATATGTATGATATGTCGGGTTCACTCACCAGGTTTAACAGTAAGGAAGAATGGGTTCTTTAATCTTTCCAAGAGAGAATTCCAAATAGATTTTGAGACTCCAACGTCATTTCTCGACCGCTTTGTTTTTTCTACAAAGTTGAATACATTCTTCCACAAACAGAGAATAGCAGAACAAACCTACTCGAGAGTCAAGACATCAAATTCACAGAAAGATGAAAAAGAAATATCGACTTTGATTCTATGTTACACAAGGACACAGAAATGAAGAAAATTAAAACCATTCAGAGAGAACCCAAATGAAAAAGAAAACAGAAGAATAAGAGGATGATGATGAAGATGAAAAGAGCAGTATCACTAACTACATCTCTTCCTATCGCTTTCTCTCTCTCTCACTTGCAGTTGTATCGATTCTTCTTGTTTTAGTAAGATGGAGGTGGTCGGGGAGGAGCCCAAAACACATCATGTGGCATCTGACCGTTGGTAAGCAGATTTGGCGGGAGATTATAGATGGGCAGGGAAGACGGGTCAGGTAAAACATGAGACTGAGATGCAGAAATACCAGAAGTTCCCGAATTTACCCCTGATGTTTGCTGTAATTGCATACCCTCGCCGGCCGGTTCGTCTTTGATTGGCAGCCGCTCGTACGTCGCATTCGCGAATGTCGCTGCAATCACCATTACTGGTCCAGACGCCATGAGCGCACCCACAACACTGCCACCCACCACCTGCCCCTGCCCTCCAGCCAAATAGACGGTCAGCCCGCTCGCACCGGGCGGTGATGGTGCGGGCAAAAACGCCCCAGAGAGCGAGAGTATCTCGAAGCGTCCATGAAGAGTGATGACCGCACCCGATGCTGCCGGTTGACGGAGAGTAACATTGGTGACGACACCGCTTCCGCTTAGAACACAGACTCCACGCTGCCGGCGCCGAGCGAATGTCGCAATGCTTTCTACGACGTCGCTACCGCTACTGATCTCTAAGACGTGGCTCCGTAGCGCATTTGGGCTCTCTCTGGTTATAATAATAGGCGGCTTTGGCTTGTTCTTGGACCCTGGTGGGCGGCCACGAGGTCTCCGAGCACTACCAGTTTCGACACCCTCATGACCAGCGTTCTGATCTTCGGCGTCTCGGTCGTTGTTCCTGCTGTCATCGTCTTCAGCGTTTTGGTTGGAAGCGTTAGGATTGGCAGTACTGTTGCTACCGCTGCTATTGGTGGTAGTAGCGGGGTCCATAAGCTCTTGCTCTCTCCTAGGACCGAGTCGCCCCAATCCACCATGGTCATCGTCTGTGTTTCTGAGTTGAAGGGACGGGGTCGACAGCACCGGGTCGAACCCTCCCAACCCCACATTTCCGACCCACCACCGATTTGCCAGGGCTGCTTCTTCGGAGAAACCCTTGTTATTTGGTAGAGAAAAATGCAAATTGAAAGAAGGAAAAAGGAGATTAATAACAGACCCTCTTTAGCTTTCCCTTCTTTGTGTTGTTGATTGAATATATTGCACCAAGTGTCGCTCCGCCTTTGTCGTGGACTGAGACCGATAGGGAGATACCCAACAGCGAAGATGGAGAGTCCTCTTTGTTCTTTTTTTCTTGTTTTTTTTTTTTCTTTTTACTTTTTCTGGTTGTTGGACATGAAAATGGGAGAGTTTGATGATGAAGAAAACCCAACTAGAAGATAAAAGTCCAAAACTTTATTTGTTGTCTGTCACCCAAAGCCAGTCGTCGAACTGCTTCCAACAATCACACCACCCAGCAAATTATGATGGTGAAGGAATCTGAAGTTCTGCTACCCACATGGGTTTTCTTCTCCTTTACTTCTGCATGAAACCCTAACTGATAGATTTGCAATTGAAGGCTGATACATAAGATCCTGAAATAATATAAAGAGCAAGCTCCAGCTTCTAAAAACCAGAGAATGCAACTATCTCACATCATACCGTTTGAAATCATAGAAACCGAAGAAGGTTAGCTTATACTTCATTCACCCTCAAGTGAAAGCGTGAAAACCCCGTTGTTGCATCTGCTTCAAGGACGAGATCTGTGTGATCTCTCTCTCTTGGAATGTATAATATGTAGTTACAACTTTTGCTGCTGCGGGTATGTTTACTTTTCTATTTTTTTTTTCTTCTGGGTTTAATAACTGAAAACTGAGCAGAAGGAAAGAAAGGGAGAAAGCTTTGCTTGCCTAAACAGATACGGCAAGTACAGGGGAATACAGGTGGTTCCTCTCTCTCTCTCTCTCTGGGTATGACCGTACAATAACTAATTAAGCACTACTTGGCGTACGATGCAAAATCGATCCCCGTGTATGTCTTCGAGGAACATGAATCTATGCTCCATCAGCAGATCAGTGATGACTGTAGAGGCCGTTATCATCGTCCTGTCCCGCCTCCACCTCCACCTCCTCCCTTATCTCTCTATCTCTATTGTATATAAATATAAATAAACCCTTTCTCCCTCTATAATAATATGTACATATATTAGAGTAATTAACACATCCGATCTATGTAGCGATTTAGTGGTAGTAGTAGTAGTGATCTACCTATCCATCTATCGACCTGTCTAGACTTTGATCAGATAAAAGCGGTGGATGTGCTTCTACCTGTTAGCTCAGAATTCAGATTGGCGGTTTTGGCATGTCTGGTTTTGTAAGATTCCTGGTTTTCGCTCCGTGTGAAATTATGAATCTCTCTTTCCTCCTCCTCCGACTCTCTCTCTCTCTCTCTCATCAGTGAAGAAAGACAGGTAATAATAATAAATGAGAGAAGAAAGTATAAGTAGTAGATTATAATGTAATGTAACGTATTGTGGTATTGGAGACGTAGAGTGTGGGGTAACGTGCGCGTGAGGATGTGGGAACATCGAACACGTCAATTTCCCGAGTCCCGACATAGTATCGAATGCCAAGGTGGCCCCAGCAGCCAGCCAACGCTACCTTCTCTCTCTCTGCCTTTTCTAATTCAAATGCCATTAATGTATTAATACCTATTTTAAGCGTGACTTAAACGTATTTCTACTGTTCTACACCTACTAAGTACTAACATAAAACATAACATGATCCGTAAGAAGGATACCTCTCAGTTGACCCGGAAATCGCTCTGAATCAACTCGTACTCGATTGATTCTGTTTGGCTTGAGTGGCCTCTTTCCATTTTACTGTTAATTTGTGAAACATGGGCATAAGATACATCACTAGACCTGTTCATGGGGCGGGCCAGGCCGGGCCGGGCTCAGGCTCGGGCTCGGGCTTGGTCCGGGCTTTTATTCTTCATGAATGGAAATTTGTTAGGCCTGAACCCGAGCCCGGCTCGACCAATGGGCCTACAACTTGGGCCCGAGCCTGGCCTTGATAAAAAGCCCGAAGCCCGAGTTCGTAGTGACTGTAAGCTGCGATTTCAATAGTGATTAGTTTGCGTCTGAGAGAGAGAGAGAACTCGCCGTCGCCATCGGTGACTATAAGCTGAGTTCGCGGTGTCTGAGATTTGTAAGCTGCGATTTCAAGAGTGACCAATTCGCGTCTGAGAGAGAGAGAGAGAGAGAGAGAGAGAGAGAGAGAGAGAGAGAGAGAAAGAAAGAGAGAAAAAGTGAGAAGAGGAACGGTAAATGTTCGCGCGCCTCATCGGTTGTGTGGTTGCCTGAGAGTGTAAAGACTGAGGACTGAGGAGGATGTGAAAACTGAAGAGAAGAGAGGTTCGGCTGGAAAGAGGTGAAAGAGAAGAGGGGTTCGACTAGGGTTTTTTAACTTTAATCTATAGGTCGGGCCGAGTTGGACTCAGGCCGGGCTATTTTGGCAAATTCCGAACTTGGCTTGAATTTATTGCAGGCCAGGCTTTTTGGCCTAAGGTTAAGCCCGCGGGCTCTTTTACATATTCAAGCCCGTCCGAGGGCCGGGCTGACCCATCGAACCATCCGACCCATGAACAGATCTATACATCACAAAGCCTTATTGCCTTATTGGTTTAAAGGCTTTCATCATATATATAAAAACTTAGTGTAGGATGAACAAAATGCAACAAGAGATACCGCACTTTTCACTTCAGTTAGTATCCCATAAAAAATATATATACAAAAAATTTCCTTTATACTTGTCTGCTTTTCAGAATAGGCTTAATATATATCTTCGTCATATGCTTACCATATATAGAACTTTTCTTAGATATCCATTATATGGGTTAACAGATTAATGCCATTGCTTTATTCTATAAATTTTTATCTCATACCCTTTAATATACATAAAAGCTTAAGCTGTTAGTTAAAATTTCTGAATATGTTTTCTATTTTTTAACTTACTCCCTCAAGCAAAAAATCATTTGGCAAAGCTGTTATATGTAAGGTCCTTGAATAGGTTTTTGTTTCTAACATCTTATAAATTCACAAGTTTACATGTCATCGATGAAATTCTAGGTTTTTCTACAACCAAAATGCTCTTATCTTACCTACTACAACAAAGTGTTAAGTATACATTTCTATTAGATTAAACTCAATTTTGATGCATCTAGAAGAGCTGATGGTTGATGTGTGGTGGGTGTCATTAGGGGTGAGCAGAAAAAATAAAAAAACTGAATCGACCGAAAAAAACAGACTAAAATAGAATTGAAAAATCGGTTAATTGAACTAGTCAGTTTGATTTTGATTTGGTGTTCTTAAAAAATCGAAGGTACCGATTTAGTTTCGGTTAATCAATATAGAAAACCGGCAATTAACCAAACCGAGCGATATACATATATTTCTATATATTTTTTATATATATTTTATATATTATAAATTAATAAATATACACTATATATAAATATATATATATATTTATAATATATGATATATTTATTTATTATTTAATATATAATATTATATATATATATATTTATATATATTTTTATAATATATGTTATAATTATTAAAAAACCAAAAATCCGACGAACTGAACTAATGGTTAACCAAACCGGTCAACCAATTAACCCATTGATTTTAATTCGATTTCGATTACTGATTTTCCAAAAATCGATAATACTGGTTTGGTTAAAAAAAAGTTTCATAGTTCGATTAACCAAACTATGAACAGCCCAAGTTGTCATTGCTAGAGATGCTTTTTGATAAGCTTCTACGAGTAATTTATAAGGATATGTTGGAATTTGTACAATCTTTAATTCGAGGAAGAAAGAAGCCACCCATGAGGTCTTTCTTATTTTCTATTCCATATCGTTTGTGTCTTTGGCTCACTTTGGGAAGAATAGAAATGTAAATAAATATAAATATATACAATACAAATACAATATATATATTTTTTGTAAATATTTACAAATACATAATATAAAGTTTTACACTGTACATAATTATATTTGTACTCTTTCCAAACTAATATTTTAGTTGTATCCTTTCCCAACTATCAAAAAAAAAAAAAGAAGAAATAATCTAGGATCCAGAGAAGGTCCATTCAAACTGCAAAAAAAAAAAAAAAGTGCTAACAATATAATCCTATATAGAACATCACATTAAACTTGAGTAAATTAACTAAATGAATAGAATCATACATGAGAGAGAGAGTGAAGGAATGGAACGCATGCATCGGAGGGCAGTGAAGAAGCAAAGTAGGATCCAGAGAACGCATAGGTAAAGGCTCAATGCAGATTTCTGAATTCCAATTCAAACTATAAGAACATTCAAAAATATCAAATACCCCCAATCTATACATCAATGTCCACCCATAAATTGGCTTCAATTCCGATTTCAATTGTAATTTAAGCTTAAAAATTCTGATCCTGGGCTGAGCCATTATTTTCCTATATTTTTTCTTATTTTTTTATTTAAACAAATATTATTTTAAGGTAAGATGGGATTGAATTTTTGTATTATTTATTGTTTTCCTACTTTTTTCTCATTTTTATTTGAATTAATTATAATTGAGTCTTCAAACTTCAAAGTAAGTGGACATTTGGATTAGGAATGGCAATGGGGAGGGGTGGGGATCCTCTCCCCATCCCCGTCCTTGCGAAAATCCCCATCCCCATCCCCGTCCCCGTCCCCGTCCCCATCTCCGCTAACAAGGACAAGGTTACCCCCCCCATCTTCATGGGGATCCCCATTCCCTGTGATTTTTTATAATATTAACCATTTTTTGTTTTTTATTTTATTTAAAAAATAAAAATAAAATGATTAAAATTTATAATCCTATTAGAAAAAATCCAAACATATGTACACATATACATATATATTAGTGGAGATCCCATGGGGCAGGGATTAGGGTCGCGGAGAGTGCTCTCTCCGTCCTCGTTAACAAAGATGAAAATTTCTCCATCCTTATCTCGGGGGAAATCATCCCCGTCCCCACCCCATTCAGAATAAATCTCCACAGGGATCAGGGAAATGAGGGCCCTCTGGATCTGAGCAATCCTCCAATCTCACTGTCCAATGTCCATCCTTTCTTTGCATAGCAGAAGTGGAAATTAATGGAACCTAATTAAACTTCCACCTCAATTCTACATAGCTCAAATATGCATGGTAGGCCCTAGGTATTTCAAAAGCCACGAAAATGAGGATATGTAGGATTAAATCTGTATTGTTTCATTTTCCACTCCGCTACAATTGAAACCCAAGGATGGAATTCAGAAGGTTATGGAATTGGCTATATGGCTTTGTCAATTTCATATAAACCCAAACACATCCTAAATTAATTAAGCTTTTCCCGTCGATTGCAGTTGGGTAGACCAGGTAGTAGAATGATAAATGTAATCCAACTCTTTTATCTTCATCAACAATCAAGAGTTCCTTATAAAATCATGCAGTAGCTCTTGTACAAATGTAAATATATACAAAATAAAAGGTTTTACATTCTACAAATTTGTATTTATATTTTTTCCAAACTGAACATTAGGGCTCTTGGCCACTTATTTTTATATATTTCGCCAGATTTTGGATACGACATCAAAATTAATAAATGTAAACGTTAATAATAAAATAATTAAAACCCAATAATTTTCTTCTTAA